CAGCTGGGGGAGTCAGGTGAGGCGGTGCCAGCCTGGAGCACTGCAGGACCCCAAACTTCCAGCCTCCCTCCTGCTCTGCCAGCTGCGCTGTGGCCCAGTGACAGCACCAAGCACAGCGCCAGGAGGACAAGCAGCTGCAGGGACATCCCCAGGCCCGGGCTCCTACCCCACTCATCCTCACTGGCTCATTGAGAAGTCTGCTTAGGTGGAGATGCATCTCCAAAGAATAAAACATGTTTCTTTAGACTGAGCAGCACTTGCTAAGTTTCAGTTGATCCAGACTTTTACTTTGTTTTCCTGCTAAAGAGCAGGTGATTGTTGGGAGAAAACTCAGGTGAGTCACAGACCAAATAAAGCCGCGTTTTCTCTGCACATCTAAGCTGAGTTAACTTTGGGAGCTCCAGTGCAGGCATTCCGCCCCCCGAGACCCCACGTTGGGAAGCCTTCACTCAAACTCACGTCCCGAGCGGCGTCGCGGTCGGCCCCGCGCAGCAACATCACCCTCACCACCTCGCTGTGGCCCATCTGAGACGCGATCCACAGCGGCGCCGTCCCGTCCTGCGGCGAGAGGACACGCTTGGACCAGCAGATCATATAGCATTCACATAGCATCAAGTTAACACCCGGAAAGAGCTCCCCGCTGACAAATGAGGGGGGTGATGTCAACCCAGTTACATAGACTGGCCTTTGGAACTGCCTAGACTGCTTGGCTAATTGCCAGTATTCGTTTTTTGTTTTTGGAGGGGTTTTTTTTGGCTGATAAAACAGACATTTTATGGCAGGACCTTTTGCCACAGGGTGTGGGGCGGGGCTTTTTGGAAAGCAGTGTGGGAAGCAGTTGCATTGCACACCCAGATGTGACAAACCCAGAAAGGAGAAGCCAGCCTGTCTATTTCCCCAGAGATTCTGTTTGCTTTGCTGGTGGGTTCACACACACACACCCAGCTTATGGGGAGCCCTTCATTCCCACAGAAGAGGGGGTAGCTTCCTTTGAGGTGGGCTTGGAGGGTCCGAGAACTCAAGACATTTCTCCCACTCCTTTATTTTGGTGTCCAGAATTCACCACAGCCACATCATTTTTAGGGACTTTAATTTTATGCAGAATGTGATATTGTGTCTTCTGGAAGGTGCTGCACACTAGCTAGCTATAGCAGGATGACGTTTTGGGTAATACTTCCTGTGGGTTATTCCCCCAAGACCCTTTTCCCATGAACACTAGGCCACGAGGCTGAGATGTATTGCTCTAGAGAAGAAAAGGTGAAACACCCATGGGTCAGGGAAGGATGTGACAGTAGGGTGATTCCTGCTGGACAGAAAGTAAAATAGAAAACCCTTGTAGTGCTGGAAGTGCTGGAGAGGAGGAGGTCAGTGAGAGTCCATGTTTTCCTCCCCGTCTGGGGTGAATCTGTGTTGGGTGAGCCAGGGGTGGTAGAAACACACAGACAAATTATTGGGAACTCCGAATGGGGAAAGATTTTCTCCTGTTACTGGGAAGACAGAAAGTCCCTTACAGAAGCTCCGCTCTTGGCTAGTGCATGAGACAGAGAAGAGAAACGACTGGGAGTTGTCTGGGCCAGTGGACCTGAGACATGCCCCAATACCCCAGTCCACATCCGCTAGGCATCTAGGCACCCAGGAGTCCCTGCCTGCCTGTGGGGAATTGGAAGTGCGTGTAAATAATGGCCTGGAGTAAGACTGGGGTTGGGAAAATAAGGCCACAGAACATCACGGTTTCATGAACAGAGACGATGGCAGGGCCGACCTATGGTGGGACCAGCTGCATCTCCAGGGTACCAGTGCAGGGTGCTCAGGGACCAGAGAAGCTGGAGAAGCCAGCACAAGGAGGAAACACAAGTATCCTCAAGCTCACCCCAGTGCCAGGTGACAGTCTGACCTCTGAGAACTTAGGCCACTTTGTAGAGAAGGGCGGGAGGAGGGAGGATTGTCCAGAGCTGACTAAACTTAACCTCTGAGGTAATTAAGGTAATACAGCCCAAAAGACCGTTTTAGTCAGACATGACTGAATGATTGATTCATCAGTGGAAATGAGGGCTGAAGAGCACGATGATTCAGTTATTATAGGGTACAACGTTTCATGTTTTGCTGGAGTATAGAATTTCAACCACAGTCTATTAGCCACAGCAGGCGCAGGGTTATTGCCCACTGCTGTCCCAGCAAAGGGACAGAGGACAAAGACATTTGAACAAGGTGGTGGGTGATGGCAAATCAGGAGGCTAGAAGGATCTAAGGGCGCTGAGGGGCGGCAGGAGCACACTGGCACCTCTGTGTCTCGGGAGACTTTTGGGGAAGAGAAGCTAAAACAAGGGATGCAAAAAGGCTGAAAACGCCCTTGCCTTACTTCGTCCTTTTACAAGGGCCTCTGAGACATACTCTTCAATTTGAATATTATTTATCATTAGCAGTGTCAATACATAATACCTTAATTTGTATTTTAGTTTATGAAGCGCTTCTATATTCATTATTTAATTTGATTCTCCCCATTCAGGAGAATCATTCATTCATTCAAGCACCCAGCAATTATTAAGCATCTTCCTCATCTCAGGTAGAGTATTGAAAATAAGACATGGTCCCTGTTCTCAAAGGAACTCAGTCTAGTGGAGAAATGACATGGAAATTTCAGTATGATTGCAGTGCTCCAACAAAGGAAGGACAAAAATGCTCCAAATGAACAGGAGAGGGGGTCTCTTACTGCGTGGGAGTTACAGGGTTTGTTTCACAGATGGGGTGGTATCTGAGCTGCGTCTTGGAGGGGGGTGGAGAGGGGAAAGGGTGTTTCACGTAGAAGGAAGAACATGTAGAGTCACAGTGGCTCAGACAGGCGTGGTTGGTTCAGGCAGGGTGGGAGATCCAGCTGGCTGCAGCCCAAGGGGTGTGGGTGCGTCCCCAGGAAGGGTTTTCCCGGCTCAGGTGCTGATGCACTGCTCCCTCCTTAACCGCGCTGGGTTCATGTGTTCTACGTCACTATCACCACCAGAGGGCAGCCAAAGAAAGGCAGCCAGCAGCCTGTTGGCTGTGCTTTCCAAGGGCTTGTTTTCAGTAAAATTCTACTACTTGACACTAATAGGTAGAAAAGTGCTGAGAGGTGCTATATCAGGGACAACTATTAATATCATAACAGTAATGCTAATGCTCAAATATTATCACCTTAATTGCAATAGTTACAGTAGTTGGAAAAAGAAGTCACCACTTCTTGGTTATGAGACCTTAGGCAAATTACTCTGTATCTCAGTGTCCCCCTTCCACAAAAATATTAGCCTCACAGAGATATTCGTGAATGAGAGAAGATATAGGAAGGTGCTGAGACAAGGACTGGCTAACAGGTGCTTAGAAAATGGTAACTGACCTGAATATTATTTATCACGAGAAACAGCAAGTACCTTAATTTGTACTTTTGTTTGCAAAGCACTTCCATATGCATTATTTAATTTGATTCTTCCAGTTTCCCCATGAGATAACTAATTGAGCAGGAAGGAACTATTGGTAAAATGAGATTTGGGGGACACCCGTGTATTTCATTACTGGTGATTACTTCTCCAAGTCTGGTTTTGAACTCCGGGAGTTGAATGTGAGCTAGAGCATTATTGTCCCATCAAATTATTTATCAGTTGGTTATCTAGTTTATGAATAGGAGAGGTTTGCCTCTTTTGTGCACCTCAATTTCTGTTTTCTCTTATTTTTTCCTTCTACTATCATGGTTAGAATCTTCGTTGTGAAGAAAACGTCATAATGAAAATGATAGACATTTTGCTCTTTTTTATAGTTTTGGAGAAAACTGGAGTAGAATAAAACATTTAAAATATTTATATAAGTTTCTGAATATTTCTTGACTAAAAAAATAGTTTTAAAATATATTAAATTGAATAAATCACCATGAAATAAAAGTTACAACCTTCCCAGCACTTTTTTTTTTAAAGGAAATAGAACATTAGATTCATGGGATTATGATAGCTGCCATTTACTATTTGTGTGCATACCGAGTGGAAAGAATTTAGATTTATTTTGCATACCAAGTGATGAAAAGAAGACTGATGAGTGAAAGCTACCAGAGACTTTGGCTCAATGTAAGAAAGAAATGATAATGAGGGCTGGTTAAAAACTAACAAGGCTGATAAGATGGTAATGAGATCCCCACACCTGGGAATCAACAGTGGCTGCTCACCACCTCTCAGGACGGTTAGAGAAAGGACTCAAATACCTATTGAATGGTTAAACAGGTGACTTTTGCATTTCCTTCCAACTCTGTTATTCCTTCATTGCATTTGAGACACTATTTTCAAGTATCCTCTAATATACTTTTATAGCTAGATCACAGTGTGAGGTGGAATATATGACATGACTTGTATTAAAGACTAAATCTTACATGGCCTTATTTAGGCTCCTAAAGATTATTCAGAAAAAAAGAATTAGAACCATTCTTTTTCATGGGGATAAGTATATTAAGTGGCTCTAGCTCTTTGCTTCTGCTTCCTTCTAGTTCTCACACTTAGGCTACTTCACCTGCAGGCTCCAGCCAGATAGAACATCTTGGCTCCAATTCTATTCTGAGTTGGGGACTCAAGAGATATAAGGAACTTAACTGGTAGCAGAGGGGGTTCAATATTAAGACAACTTTGTTACCAACCCTACCCTGACCTGGAGCCCACATCTCATTACTGTGTCCTGGCTTGGTGTCCCCGGTCCAGCAAATGGGTCTGTAAAAGGTGCCTGTACTGCCCACAATCTGACCCCATTCTGCCCAGCCACAGGTGATCAGACCAAGGATGGGCAGGCCTGGTCTGCAAAGACAAGCCGTAACAATGACATGGCTAACCCAAGAGTCTGGTAGTCCGACATTATACATTTGGGGAGCCACATACAAGATAAGGAAGCAGAACAAGCTTCCCCCACCCAAAACAAAGGAGTGGGAGACAGAAAGAGGCAAAAAGGCACTTTGAGATGACAGAGACCACATGGCTCACAAGAGAAAGAGTACAGCCTTGATTTCTGAAGGGTTTTCTGTTCCAGTGAGGCCTTATGGAACAGAAATAATGGCAATATCTAACATTTACTAAGCAGTTGGTGCATGTCAGCTACTGCATTAAGGATTTTGCAGGGATGATGTCATTCTCACAACACCCCTGTACAAAGGTACCATTGTTATCTTGGTTTTACAGATGAAAAATACAGAGATTCAGGGACAGTTAACGACTTGTTCAAGGTCATGCAGTTAATAAGTGAACGGGGACTGTGTTTCATTTCCTTAAGATAGCCACATCCCTGTAACAACCGAGCAGCTCCCCTCTTCACCCCTATCCTGGGTCTGGCTCCCTAGCTGGCTCTTACAGTCTTCCTAGGACTGGTGTCCTGCCCATGAGCCTGGCCCTACACCTGAGCCTGTTCTAGTTTCAGTCACTGGTTACTATGTATTGCAGCCTTCCGGACCTCAATGGCCCTCTTCCCAAGCCACAGGGTGTCTTCTGGAGTCAAGACACCTTTTCTGAGTGCCGACCATGTGCAGAAGGAATGCAAGCAGGGCCTTCTTATTGCTGTCTGTTCCCATTTCCAAGCCCTCAGGATATGGCACCAATCTGTAGGCTCTACTTTCTCCCATTGCCGACTATGGGTTCACCCCTTCCAAGCTTGCAACCTGGGAGAACTGTTACTATCTGGGTCCCAGCATCTCTGCATACAAGTCCAAACCAAGGATTCTGTTAGAGAAGGCACTTTATGAGATGGCCTTTCTGTCAGGCTTCAAAGAAATACTGATTAGCACATTAAAAGGACTAGCTAGAGATGAACGATGATAGGCCAATCTCAACTCTGGGTAAATAGGGTCAGACCTTTACCACTCTATAAAAGTATTATTTAATAAGGTGGTTAAGTTGAGTTGAGAAAAGTATATATCAAAGCAGTTTGTTCATAGAAAAACAGAATAAATAGCCAACTCAGCGAGTAATTAAAAAAGTTTGCTTCGTTAAGACATCATGACTCATGCATTCTTTTTTCTAACACGTTAACTGACTTTTGATTAAGTGGGTATAGAAATAAATCTTAAGCCTTGCCATTTTTGTTTTATTTGGAACCTATAAAGAGTTCAAAGTTTAATAATAATTTCTAAGTATCTATTACATCTAAAAGTGAAGGTCTTCCAGGGTATTCCTAAGATCCTGCTCTCACTTTCTCTAGGAAATGTTTGACTCTATATGCATCTTTAAAGAAAATAATATTGGGTTAAATGCTGAATGTAAACTAACATTGACAAATTATCATTGACAAATATTTCAATATTGTATTTTTGGCAAAAAATATTAGTGTTGTGTAGAAAGACAATTACATCTTTCACCCTTAAAAAAAGGTTTGACTCATATCAACTCTACTTGGTCAGGACACATATATAGAAATGAACATGAGTTTTTAGACTGGCTATGGGTTTCAGTGATCTGTGTGGCTCTTAACCTCTTTATCTAGGACAACTTAAAAGGAAAATTTTTTCCAATATTAAAATCAAGGCTTAGTCTTTCCAAAGTCTTCCTGTGGCTTGCTTTGCAATTATGATTCCTTCTCACAAAAATTCTAAGAAGGTTTTCAGTTAGTTCGTCAGTGATAGAGTTACAAGGAAAAGTCATTTCTATGATGGCACAGATTCCCTGCAGCCCAGATCAAATGTCAGCTGAATAATTTCAGTGCAATTTCATTAACATCTTGTTACAGTGTGCCGTAAAATGTCAGGACTCCATACAATGGCAATGCAAAAATTATAAATCAGATTTATCTTAAAATATTCAGAAATTAAACCAGGCAAATATTGTCCTTATTTTGTAAATTCAACAATTTTCTGACAATGACTCAGTGTGTCAGCTGAGATTTCAGAATAAAACATTGGTTTCCAAGTGCCCTGCCTAAACAACATTCTACCACGCACAGGCCATTTCAATGGAAACTTTTAATTAGACTTCTTTTTTTTAAACCTCCTCATAACTTGTGACAAAATCAGGCAGGACTGATAAACATCACTTTGCCATATTTAGAACACTACTTGTTTTCTTAGAATGGAATTAAATATGCAGAATTTACCCTTTTAGAGACTACAGAACTTGTATTAGTCTGATCTAGCTACTATAGAAAACCTTTTATTTATAAGTTCATGGCAGGTAATAAAAAGATTATGGTTTTTACAGGTACAGTGGGTATCTGTGGGATACAGAGGGTACAGTGGGGTTAGTATACTCTATAAAAAGGAAAAATTCCATCACTTTCCCACCCAAAACAATTCTTATGTTATGAAACACTCTGCTGCTGCTGTTGCTGAATAACAATCTTTAAAGAGCTGAGCTCGCAATTGCATTAGATGCAATCTTTGGAAGGGCATGTCACTTGCTTTGGCCTGAGGGCGGAGTCTTCCCACTCCCAGACTAGGTCATTCACTTTGACCAGGTTATCCTCACTCCTGAGGAATGAAAAACACTGGTGTATTGTGGCTACCACTATAATGTTGGTGCACTCTTTTAACTTCTTGGTTTCAACATCATCACATGACTTAGTTTAGGTTTAAATGGACACAATCAATGCAACCTTTGAAATATAATCTCTTCTATCAACTTGTTTTTTTCACAAAACCTTAGGCATATGAATAATATAATTTATTTTATAAATAGATTTGTGAAAGTGCTAGAAATAATTTTAGAGGGTTGTACAGAGAGAGAGAAAGAGAGAGACAGAATTGATAATCTTTATAATCTCTAATTTCTAAATTCACAGTGGTACTCTCAATAATGGCCTCCAACTCAAATTTAGTAAAAAATTCTTTTTACTATTTTTAATAAAATAAAGGCTCTTATTCAGAATCAATCAACAATTTTAAAATAAGGACCAATAAGAAAATATTAAACTCTTATCCCCAAACTCTGACAGCTATGGAAAAGCAACTTTTGTAAAAGCTTCCTTTCCCACGAGTATTCCTAGAGCCATTTAAATCTAAGAATATCTTTAAAACTCTAAAAATATAATCTTACATTCATAGCAGTGTCTGGCACATGATAAGTGCTCAAGAAATGCTGATTGAACATTGAATAAAACAATTAACAAAAATTTGGGAGCTTAAAGAGATCATCAGCATCATCTTGCCCAACTTTCTAAATTCCAGATGAAGGAAGAGAGGTCCAGAGAGGTTGATTCACTTGTTTAAAACCACACAGCTAGTTATTAGCAGAGCTGCATCTACAACTTAGAATTCCTAACCTCAAGCCCACTTTTCCCAAAGGCTCTTTCTTCTTTTACGCACTTTTTTATTTTATGCACTTGGACTTCTAAAGATTGAAGAAGCCTGTGGCCAAGAGCTCAGACCAACCTTAAGGTTCCCATAGCTATTCTTTACATGTACATACAGGTGTTCTCAAAGCAGGTCACTTACCAGAAAAAAATTTTTCTGGTAAGTGACCTACTCAGAGGAATCTGTCTGCGTGTCATTTATTGGTAAGAAGTCAGCTTGACTTTTCTAGAAAACTACCTTTAAGTAATGTTACTTTAATCTGAAATGTCTTGTTAAAAACAAATTAATAGTGCAGAAATAGTTCCTGTAGAAGAGAAGCTAATTAGAATGCCTTACATTTGGATGGTTCTTCACCATTTATAAAGTGCGGCCAGTATTACCTTGCAGTTCTGTTCCTTTAAAGTAATTGATTTGCCAGATGCTAGCTTGCTGTTGGTAAACAAAGTCTCAATAGCATCGTAATTGTGAGAGATGAAGGTGCGGAACCTACGAATGACTCCAGTGGGTTCCTCTTTGGCTTGGTGGAAGAAGTGGGGTTAAGAGATAAGGCAGCATATCAAAGCTACCTGACACGCCTCTATTTACCTATGTCCCAGGCTAGCTACTCTCATTACCTGAGTGCAGCCATAATTTATTTGAACAGGAGGTGGCAGAGTGTATACTTGACCTCAGACACCAAACACCCAGGTTTTAAAAATAGTAAGTGGTGATGTCAGCCTGATTTCAGGTGAGTCCAAAGCAAAGAACAGGAGAAACCCTAATGAAAGATTAACTGTCGTTGCAAAAGCAAGAGGGTTTAAAGACGCCCCGAGCTGACTCGGTAGGAGCTGCTGCAGGACAGACAGCAGGCCCTCCCTGCCCACTTCTCTGCGGATATTACCTGCCGTGGCTGGTTGACTTTGGCTCCTGAAGACAATAACAATCGAATGACATCCAAGTAACCACCTTGGGCAGCGAGGAAGAGTGCAGTGGCTCCATCCTGAGAGATAGCAAATTGAAAGTATTAAAAAATCATCTTTCACATTTATTTTAAAAGAAATTACATTTTAAAAAATACTTAACATCTAATACAATTTTCCATTTCCATGCCCCCCCTTTTTTTTCTCATACATGGTTAGTGTTTTATTCTTTGAAGAATGATTCTAAAACATCACACTAAGTCAGGCTGAAAGGTAAGTTTAAAATAGGCAGTTTATAAGGATAAGTTATAATGTATGTGACTGTCCACTCTACAAAATCTTGGTCCTGGAGCTTATGATACATCTAGTTGTAGCATCCAGTTTCTCCAAATATCTAGTCACCATTTTTCTCTTGTCTGAATAGACTTCTTCTTAGCTGCTTTCTACTTTTGTTGTATGATCTGAGTCCATCCCCTTTTTAATTAGATTTAAAAATACATACATTTAATACAATTTTCTATTTCAATTCTTTTGTCAATGAAGAGCTAAGTGTTAGTTCAAAACAAACAATAAATAAAGTCTATGAATAAAAACTAAAGAAATCCTCAAACCTATTTTGTGTGCTTTTATAAAACAGGAGTAAAAAGTGTCCTTTAAATTAGATCTTCCCTATTCCTTCCTCGTTCTTGCCCCCTTACCCACATCCCCCCAACATGCAGTTTCTCCAAGCTTTAAAACACAGAATACTTTCAGAATAATGTCCCTAGTGAGAATATTCATAAACTCGCTTCCTGCCAGCCCAGCAGACACCCATAACACCTATAGAGGCAACTAAGCAATCCTGAGAAAAAGCCCAAAGCAAATGCGTGTTTCCAATTTTCGTTAGTTTTCTTTTTATCTGGGTGTCTACATTTTCTGGTTATTTCTTTTTTCTTGAAGACGTGCCATTGGGTAATTTCAACAATACATGGGTCAGTTGAGGGTGTGCATCCTCCCCAGCTGTTCACTTCACGCAAACAGCATTCACAGAACACGGTGAGCCTCATTACTTTTAGACCACAGTGGAAAACCCAAGCACATCCCCATGGAAAACACCCAGCCAACCCAGATAATTACCACCCTCCCATCAGGAACAGTAACCACAAGTTAAAATACAAAGCACCTTTCCCTGCAAGTCCAACCACGTGGAGGGTGCTGGATTTCCAGTGGGTGTCAGCTGAGCTGCCAGATTTTCCTCAAGGCAATCATTAAAAAATTAAGCAGCCTGTACAGGTTTTTAAGCAGCTGTTTGATATAGGGATGAAATTTACAGCTGCTGCTGACTGTGTTGCCGCAGAAAGTCTCCCATGCCCTTAGCAGCTGATAACTCTTAGGAAGTTTCTAAAATGGATATCTATACATTGGATTTTTTTACTGTGCATTGTCAATTTCTGTTACTAGAAGTTTTCAGGGATCATTGACAGGGATTTGCCATATTTTACTTGTTTTTAATGGAAACATTTACATTGGACTGTTTGGGTAAGGGTAAACAAAAGACTTAACAGAAAATCTAAGTTCTGGTGCAAGAAATTTCTTGAGTCACCTTGTAACAGAGAGGAATTTATTATGGGAATGGGCTCTCCCCAAACTCTACATTTCTAAGATTATGTACCATCCCAATGAGCCTTATGGAAGAATATTATCTAACAGTACAAATTCTGTACCCACCGTCAGTTTGGATTGCTGATACTAATGGAAATGCTATAAAAGTCACCACTGATTTTCCTTTTCTAAAGACTTGGGTTTTTCCTATTCAACCTACACGTGCTCTCAGATACAGCCAAATAAATAGCCAGAGCTGTAGACCTGTGTTTCTTAGACTTGGACACATGTCAGACCACCTGTTGCCCAAACTGGGCCCTAAGACTGCAGCTTAGTTGGTCTGGGGTGGGTCTAGGAGGTGGTACTTTTTAAGGCTCTCTAGGTGATCCTAAAGGGCAGCCAGAGATGAGAATCACTCCTTTAGAACATTGTCAAGTAGTTCAGTCATTCGACTGGGAATGCCGCAGGATCAAAGAACGTTACAGATTTTGAAGTACAAAGGGCAAGACTGGTTGCTATGTACTTCAAAGAGGTCTATGATTTGTCAGACTTAATCGTGTAAACTCTGGAAAGGGTGTTCAAATGGAAAAGTTCACACCTACACATCTCATTACTTGTCTATGAAAGTATATAGTTCCCTATGCATATGAACTAAGTGTCTAGTGGTAGGATAGCCTAAAATATGGTTCCTAGATAACTGGAAACAGGATTCTGCCACTCCTGTCAATGATACTCTGTCAAGTCATTTCAACTCCCCATATTTTATTTTTTCTTACATAACCAGAATCGCATTTGGCATAAATCCCATGGAATTACAATGACAATCAATGAAAAGAGCACTTGGGAAATGTGCTAATTGCCATTTAGCTGCAGACCCAGGCTCAAAAGGTCACTGGTGGGCATGTATTTCACAGGTCTTTATCCACCTAACCTCATTTCTCTTCCAAATAACTTGATTTCACCCTTTTTTGCTCTTCCTCCCAAATATCTCTACAACAGAATTTATTTTGGTTTTTAGCAAGTCCACATGCTGGGCTTGTCATGCTATGAATAAGTATGTATCACATGATTTTTGATTATTTTAATTGCAGAGGCATATGAACTCTTTCATGTGCAAGAGATTTCAAAAGGCAGAACAAAGATGGGTAAATAAGACAGTGGTTTCTACACAGAAAAAAAATCATCTGGTTAACCATTATTGCTTCTCCTTGATGTTTAAAATTAAGGTCCTATTGTTCATTAAAATAGTTTTGAAACTGGCACTTCTAGCATTCGAATTCAGATTGCGAAGGTATGTGTGATGAGGGGATAAGCATGTGTCTACCTAAGGTCCCCTTAAAACACACTCACATAAAGCTGGTCGTGGATGTTGGCTCCATGCTTCAGCAAGGTATCCACCACTCGCATGTGCCCATACTGACTGGCAGCCAACAGGGCAGTGCCCCCGTCCTGTGGACATGCAAAGTGTAAACACATCAGAAAGTGCAGGCACAAACATTACCAAACAGATGCTCCTCACATAGTGAGAACTTTGGAAAAGAATTTCGCTATAGATAACCACAAACTCACTTTTCCTCTTTTATCCCTTTTACTTTTTCCTTATAATCATGATGGGCATTTAAGGACACCATTCTGTTGTACACTTGGATGACTTGCTTGAGATATATTACAGCTGTTTGACTAAGTTATCATGATTAATTTAGAAATTTCCCATGTCTACTAGACTTATCAAGGAGATCATGTCTTAAGTTATATAAATGTCTAATCACTATGTTGTACACCTGAAACTAATATAATATTGCATGTCAACTGTAATTGTAAAATACCACAATAAAAAAATAGAAATTTCCCATGTCAAATGCAGAATCATCTATTTGTCTCTCAATCAAGAAAACAGAGAACAGAAAGTCTGGACCAATCAGTTCTGAAGTGGAATGACCTGCATAGCCTCTTGTGGCTTCTGGCCAGAGACCCTCATGACAAACACTGGCTTCTCCCTGCAGTTCCACCCTGTTGCAGGGCTCTGAGATGAAGGTGCTTTTATGGGGTAACCCTCTGGGGCCACTGCCTTCATGGACAAGATCTGCATCCATTAAAAGAATGGATAATTACAGCATATTCCCTGTGTCTCTCACCATTCTACTTAGTATTTTCCTTTGAACATGTGCCAATTTTTCCAAGTCTCTTTTAAAATGTGGGCCCTAGAACTAAACAGAGTGCTATGAAGTGGATGTGGTATGATGTGGAGTGGGACATTTCCTTCTGTCTACTCTACTTTTATTTCTGTGGTCTAAATTAGAATTAGCTTTTATGCCAACCACATCACACTACTGACTCACTAAATTTGTGGTCAACTGAAATCCTTAATGGTTTTTCTCAGGTGCTGCAGCTAATGCATTCTTTTATCCCATCTAGGGTAGTTTGTTTGGCTCTGTGAATTGGTATGCGGACATTTGAGGTAATTAGAAAAAATGCAACAACATGTAATCTGGGTCTAAAATACCATTCACAAATATAAGATAGTGTGATTTTTAAATTTGGACATAGATTGTTTATTCAAAATGTCTACAGCCCTTAGAGTCCCATCCTCAGATTCAGGAGGTCTGGAGTGAGGCCCAGAAATAGGGCTTTGGACCAGTCATGTGAGTGACTGTGATGAGCAGGTGGCATGTGGTCCTCTCTTGAAGACACACTGGTTTAAGAACTCCTGTGTTCACAGGGAGGTGAGATCCTGGGGGAAGCATGTGGCTGAGTGAGGCTTCAGCAGGGGCTGGCTGTGTGGTGGGGGAGAGCTGCATTTTGAAGGGTGAGGACTGGAGGAGAGAGACTGGAGGGCTGATGTGGTGGTGAGGGTGTGGGAAGGGTAGGTGGGCATCAAGAAATTGCTTAACAGCAGCCATGAGCATCAATGTTTCCAAGTTTTGTTCTGTCTATTTTCTCAGCTCTTTGCCTAATGAGTTTAAAGAATAGATAAAATATGATGATTGTCATAGAAGGGCTTATATCTTTTATTTTTAAAAACACATTTTTGGGGATACAGATTTAATAACAATGTCAATAATTGTTGACACAAAGTCAGTTTTGATTACAGGATCATGTTAAAACTCAAAGCCTCCCGGACACTCTCGTCTTCCCATGGAAAGCTCTTGGACACCTGCAGCTGACCTAATGGAAATATGCAGAATGGCTCCCCCTGGGCCCCATGTTCCATGGATTTCTGGGAGAGCACAGACTGGCTCATGTACAAAGGCTTTGAGCCAGCACTAACTTGCTAACCAAGAAGACTGAGGCAGCCACATGGCCACACATGAACATTTTGACTTGGTTCAAAGAGTTGAGATTTAGGTTTGCAGAACTTTACTTCCTGTCTTTAGTTGTATCACTTTTATAATGAAAAATAAAATGACAATTAATATAAAAATATATACACACATATATTTTGGATTGCTGTATATTATATTCAGCATGTCTGGAGGCATGTATGCAGTCCAACAGTAGGTTTCAGAAAAGACAGAGAAACCTATCTGATATTCAGATCTACTTAATAGTTATTATTTTAATAGGAAAGAAACCCATTGGAAACTCCCTTGATATCGAAATATCATATACAATGAATTAAGAAAACCTAAAAAAGTTTCCAACTGGAGCAAATTTTCAGGAATTTTTTTGTTATGATGAGGACAGAAATAAGTTGACAATTACAAAAATGTTATGGCAGTTCAAATTCTCCTACTAAAAACATTGTCATGTAAAATCATTTTGTGAATATATAGTTGATCTTTCTATAGTCTGTATTCTTATCCATATGTCTAGTATGAAGAATCAATGACTTCTTTAAAGGAAGAACCACCATTCCTTGCCCAACTACATAAACTGTAATCATATATTACATATTTCAGTGAGGACATCTCAGATAGTAAACTGCCTGCCAAGTCACCTTCCTTAGAAATATCTCTGATTCCTTGGGATTGGCTTCATACTTCTGATATTTCCTATCAGCACTGGGATTAAAATTGAAGTGGAAGAAAAGCACATGAGGGCTGGTCGAGTGGCTCAGTTGGTTAAGAGCTTGCTTAAGAGTGTGAGCTCTGAGCAACAGGATCGCCAGTTCGATTCCCACATGGGCCAGTGAGCTGCACCTGAGCTGAGCTGCCGCTGAGCTGCCAACAGGTGGTAGGATGGCTCAGCTGGTGAGAGTATGTGCTCCTAACAACAAGGTTTCCTGTTGGAGATGGTGGGCTATGTCCGCCCGCCCGCAACTAAAGACTGAACTCGGCACCTTGAGCTGAGCTGCTGCCCGGGTGACTCAGGGGATAGAGTGCATGCTGTTAACAACAATGCTGCCCGGTTCAACTCCTGCATGGGATGGTGGCTATGCGCATCCAGAACTAACTGAACACAGCACCTTGAGCTGAGTGGTGCGACTGGACTTGGAGCTGAGCTTGCTACGCCCTCCACAACTAAGACTAAAGGACAACAACTTGGCTGTTCCCCTTCCCCAATTCCCCAACACTGTTCCGCTCCCCCAATTCCTCAACACTGTTCCCCTCCCCCAATTCCCCAATTTAAAAAAAAAAAGCACATGAAAACAGGGAACATTTAAAGCACCTACAACTGTATCTATCTTGGTAACAAAATTTAGTGTCCCAGAGCAGAAAGCTACCAGGGTAAGAAAGAATGTAAGTAATTCCCCATAAAATTCTCCAATTGTGAGCCAACTCTTCCTAGAGTTCAATCTCCAGGATAACCCCAGAACTATTACAAGGAACATTGTGAAACCCACATTCTTAGGCTTGAAAAATCTTTTAAAAAGGGGAGCACAAATTTGTATTACAAATGAAGAGAAAAGAATACTTATGACTGCTGAATTCTTCAACAGGGTATGACATCAAAGAAGTCCTCTTACTTTGGTCCTAAATTCAGTGGATGCTCCAAATTCAAACAGAAATCTCACCACGTCATTGTGGCCTTGCTGGGCAGCAAAGAAGAGGGCAGTTGTACCCGACTAGGAGAGAGAGAGAGGCTGGTTTTAAAAGACATTTGGTTACATTGCATTTGATTTATATATTTGCAAACAAAATAAAACAAAACAATATCCTTGCATATAAACCTTCTAGCCTAGGAAGGTGCTATATTTGAACTGATTATCTTCCTTGGTGAGAGAAGTGACAAGATGAAAGGAAAACTTTATTCTTGGAGCAGTGGAATGAATGGTGGACTTCCCAAAAGATACGCCTTCATCCTAAGTCTTGGAACTTGTGAATGTTACTTATATAGCAAAAAATATGATTAAGGATTTTGAGAGGAGGAGCTTATCATGGCTTATCCAAGTGGGCCCTAAATGCAAAGTATCTTTGCAAGAATCAGGCAGAGTGCTATTTGACACAGAGAGGCGGCAGAGGTAATGTGACCACAGAGGCAGAAGTTAGAGTGATGGAGTCACAGATTAAGCAGTGCCAATAGCTACCAGCAGCTGGAAGAGGTAAAGAACGGATTCACCTCTGCAGCCTCCAGAGGGAGCACCGCCTTATGGACACCTCGGATTTTCTGTCCTTCAGAACCACGAGAGTATAAATTTCCTTTGTTTTAAGCCACTTAGTTTGCGGTAACTTGTTATAGCAGCCATGGGAAACTAACCTGCTTGGTATATAGTATTTGGAAAAGACACATTCATTCATGTGGGGAAGAATTCTGGCAGCATTGTGGTTACAAAGTTATCACCCCAGAGTTGAAAGCTACCTGTGCAAGAAAGACTGTAAGTAATTCACTCAAATAAGCTCAAAATATTTCCTGAAATAGGACATATTAACAAGAAACAGTCTGATTCCAATTTTAAACTTATCAATGATATTCTGAGATACAAGTTGTTAAACATCCTTTCTTCCCAGGCACTTTAAAAAAACCTATTCAAAGATTGGTACCCAAATAATTGTTGTCAAATGAGCAAAATCACCACACCACTCTTGTGAGGAATGTATGTTTTTCATATAAAGATGCTTTGAGCATGGGATGAAGCTAACACTATACTTTTTCAGACAGTCAAGAGAAACCCTCTTTCCATGGCTTGCCTGGGAGTGTTAAGGTGGTAGGTTCTCACGTGGGTGTGAGAAGCCAGGGAGAGCATGTGCTATGGATTACTGTACACTCTGACTTCTGTGCTCACGGGTATTGCACACATGTGCATGTGTGTGCATGTGTGTGTGTGTGTGTGTGTGTGTGTGTGACAGGATCAATGAGGCCCCCACTACTGTGGTAGGACACATGCTAACACCTTCCCAGACATAACCGTCTATCTCCGCCTGTGTTCCTAAGCAGACCCTGCCCTAGGAAGGCACAGGTGACGGGGACCATTTACAGAGCCTTTCTGCCTGTAATGCAGGGGTGATTCTCTCCTTGGTTTCCACAGAAACAAGTTAGCAGCATCAGCTCATTGTTTTCTTACTGTGGAGGATGCTGGCTTCCAGAAACCTTAAGACGTAATGGCTGTGAATGGAGAAACTTGGGTAGAATGCGAAAACTCTCATCTTCTTAATAGACATTATTTTTCGAGACTACCAATGGTCATTTCTAGTTGTTCCTTCATTAAGAAAAAGGATTTGTTTTTCAATAAGGTTTTTGATATATTAACTACAAAAATCATATTTACAGCAGTTTGGGCCAGTTTGGGAACATACATACTGTTAACCATTGTGCAAGTGAATGCAGCGATCTATGGACCACAGGCACTAGACTTCAGTATGGAATGTGAATAGGGGTGTTAAATGCGTGGGCTTTACTAGTGAAACCCAGGCTTCATGACACCTGCACACGCGGCTCCTTGGCCTAAGAGTTTAACTCAGCCAATATTGCTGGTTCTCTAGAGCAATGGTCTTCCAGGACCATTAACTTCTAGTTTGTCTCTCTAGCAATCTCTGTGTATCTAGGTAGCCAACCTAAGAAAACAGTGGCAGGTACTTTTTCAGGAAAGAAATATTCTGATTTTGCAAAATGGATTACAAACGAACCAAGGTAGAAGTCCGCTATCCGAGTAAGTTCCACAGAACTGCTAGGCACTTTCAGCTTTCAAAACAGAGGAGGTGAGGTTGGGATCTCTTTGGCTTAGCAGGTCTATTGTCCCAGACTGGCATGGCTTCAGGGACCACCAGAAACTCACATAGCTCAAACTCATCATTTGAGCCACATAGGTTACTGCTAAATTAGACACACTTTGGTAAATCCTCAAGGACCACTGTGTTCAATGCACAATAGTTTACATCTTTAAGAACATTAGCTGAGCAATTGGAACCAAACAAATATAAAACCATAAAAACCATACATTGGCTGGAAATCAAACAAGTGTTTCTTTTCTTCTCCCAGCTCTTGTCAGTTGTTCAGAAGATATTTTTATGCATGTTGAACTTGCCTTTAAGGATAAAGTTTTTGAGTAAGCAGATCTGGATCATATTGTTTTTATTAGAGAAAATCTGTCTCTTCTTTAAAGTTAAAGTAAACAAAGGCTGTAAAGCAGAGAGGAAAAATAAAAAGATCAGGGAATTTTAAACTGTAATTCTAAATGGGTCCAAACATTTTCTTCCAAAAAGAAAATTAGCTGCTGAATTGAAAATGACCTAAAACAATGATCCAGTGTTATGGAAATTGCTCAGGAGAATCTGTCTGTGAGAAGACTACTTGGATTTGCTTTGTGCTGCTCTTCCCTATAGACCAGGCTTGCTGATCCTGGACAACAGAGAACCAGACTCCAGATTCTACCCATTTAGTGTCACCTCTCCCATGGTCCACCAGAGGGGAGATGGGAGGGACTTCTAGATGTCTCGTGGAATGTCTATACCTTACACCTGGTGCATCTTAATTTGTTCCACACAGAGGTGGCGGTTCAGCTTGGAAGATGGGATGCATTGCTCGATGAAAGTTTGGTTGATGAATGGACCTTTATGAAACAAACAACTGTAGGGCACGCCCTTAGATAAGAGTGGATCAAGGAAAACCAAACATGCCAGTCTGGTTTGGAGCTTGCCCCAGGACGCCCATCTTGGGTCTGAGTCTGTGGATTGAGAGGTCGGATTCACTCTAGGGATGACCTATGCAAGTGTCTCCAGGAAGGTTAATTTCCAAGGCCCTATATTGGCTTGGAAATGTATGTGCTCTCCTCAGACTTGAATCCCAAAGTACCTCAAAATGCCCCGGCCTCCCACTGCTCCATTACATCAGACCAAGAATGGATCCTCCGGACAGACAGAACTCCTGAGGTTGCTCTTGAATGAAGTGTGGAGATAGGCTCACATTTTAGTCTGATGCTCACCACATGGATTTTTTTGGGGAGAGCTTGTTTAATATGTGACCAGTCAGAGAAGTCCTTTGAAAACATGGTTTGGTGGGGATGGTTGAGATAGCCTTAGCAAGTGTGCCTCATGAAGAACAGGTTTGTGACTCAGTCCTTCTAAAAATATGATGATCTCCATGAAAATCCTATAAATTCTGTAGCATTTCATCCCAAGGAAGGAAGAACTGCTTTAGGCTTGGAACAAAATGTTTGAGTGTTTAAGGAATGTGGTTAGAGGTTTGCTTAACTCAGAATGCAACACACGCCTGAGAAGATACGTTCAGCTCAAGTACAACCACTGGTCAGCTCCTGGGCCTTATTTTAGGTACAATAAAGTCAGCAAACTGGGCATTAGTTTGACCTAGGAGAAAAGCAATGATTACTCTTGCCCTTCTTAACGATTTACTATCGTGAAAACTTCTAGCCTCTGTCACCTGGATCATTCTTACTCAAGTGCAAAACCTGACCTACCTCTCTCTGGAGATTGATGTCCGCACCTTGGAGAACAAGTTCCTTCACACAGTCTATATGACCAGCATAGGAGGCGACCATGAGGAGTGTGGTGCCATACTGGATGGAGGAGAGACAGATGAACAGTTAGGCCGGCATATGCCAGAGAGGGCTCCTGGAGAAGAGACATGTCAGCTCCATTCAGGGCCTGTCCAAGCACAAAATGTCCCGCAATGATACAAGTGTCTTATGAATAATTTTATAATGCAGACTAGATGGGAAAAAGCAAAACGACAAATTACTGAGGCTGGAATTTTCAATTTAAAATTCACTCACTTCCATTACCTTCAGAAATGCAGTTCAAACGAACCATGGTTACTGCATTTTAAGGCAGCTGTGAGGTAATGGTCTCATTTGATGATTTATACTAAATGATTCCTGAGCCCAAACACTGCTCTTAATGCAAAAAATGGGTTTAACAGTACCATTTGGTTTTCTGCATTTAAAAGTCTTTATCTTCAAACTGATTCAGGTAGAAATGTAAGGCACTACAATGAAATAAGAGACTACAGAAGTAAGAGTCAGGAACTCTGGGGTCCAAGTTGACCTCTGTCATCAACCAAGTGTAACCTGGGGCGAGTTGCTTACAGTTCCTGGGACACATTTACTTCATCTTTAAAATGAGGGGTTGGACAGGGTGATCATCAACGTCTCTTTCAGCTTTAAGATTCAAGGACTTGAGGTGTACCATCTGATATGGACCCTTACAATTCAAATGGACTTTTGTAGTTTAATTTACAGTTGTTTTCAAGGGCTTGAAATTGTAATCTAAACCACCACCTCTGCATACTCAGCAACCTGCCTTCCAGGAGTGGACAAGAGACAGTTCTACACATGAAGAAGGCTCTCTAGGATAGGGGGATAAATGACTGTTATAAGCTTCATGTTATTCACCTCTGTGGGATTTTGTAGGAAAGCAGTATAATTCAGTGATCACTGACAGTATGACCTTGAGCAGGTTATCTAACCTTTCAAAGGCTCATTCTCCTCATATGTAAAATGGGAAATAAAAAAAAGTATCTGCCTGATTAAATTGGTAAATGACATAACTCAGTCAACGTGCTTAGCATAGTAATGCTAGATCTTAATTCAACAAGTGCTAGATAATCAAATAACAGTTCAGTAAATGTTAGGTTGTCATTTGACTTTTGCTGACTTCTGTGAATGACAAGGCTAGTTTGGGAAGTCTTCTTTTGCTATAATGAGAAGTGTACAAGTGGGTAGAGTCAAGAAAAGCTAATGACTTCATAGAAGTACTTTTATGATACTTTCTCCATCCCATGTGACCATATTTGGTATTTCAGTGTAAGACTTTCAATGGAGGCTGTACCATCCATTATTCAGTTGAACTCCTTCTGCCATATTTTCCAAGATTCAAATGGCAAGTTTGGTATTAGTAACTTCCTCTTGAATGTGAGACATTTTTATTTAGATTGTGGATAGAGGAAACCTTGATTTAAAGCCAGCCGAAACACACAAGCTATGCGAGGTGAGAAAAAAAATTTTTTTATCATGGGTCACACTGGTCTCAAAATAAAAATCCATCATGAGTCAAAGGAAGCACAGAGTACTTCAGTTGGATAATTAAACAAGAAAATAAAAAATGTTAGACTCATCTGTATTAAAGTGAGGAAAGATGAATGCCACAAATAACAAAAATGCTTCTTTATAGATTGCATTTCAATTCTACATTATGGTCAATTGAGAAAAAGTTGGAGGTTGGGATAAAGAAGAAAGAATAAAGAAGTGGTATCTGTTGATGCATTCACATAAAACATTTCTTTTATATTCAAAACCTATTAGCTTGACTGATTTTAATTCTCTAAAGATTAAGGTTATTTCATTCCATTGCTTGATGTTAAAATGTATCTTTTAAAACAAACTGATTTTGAACAAAGGAAATACTGGATATAGATATAGTGAAGACCACAACCAACAAGATGGTGAAATACATACATTCATACATCTAAAAAGACCAAAAGAACCTTGCCATTGCACATCTTTGTGGTAAAAGTGTGTCAGGGAGATGAGCAATGCAAAAAATGTAAACATCATGTGAAGACAGCATTAACCTAGGAACTGAAGATGAATGTTAGCAAATCAAAGTGTTGCTGTGAAGTGGGTGGCCTAGAGATGATCATTTGTTCTTTATGATGCTATTCATTGGAAAAGCTTGAACATGGTCTTACTTGAGGTTAGAAGCCATTCCCAGCAAAGCCTGGGGCCTCTCTAGCATTCTGTCAGCTCTCACAGGCATCCTAGGTAATTCTGAGGCTTGGCACCATTGGTGAGGGCAATACTAGCCTAGAGATCACTCACCATAAGAAGAAACCATTCTGAAACCTAGACTCGCCATTCAGGTGACATGTGGAGGAGGCAGAAACCCACCCAATAAAATGTCAAGGGGAACAAAGGTCTGTGCTGTATCCAAACATCTCCCTGCCCCTCAGTTATCACCAATCTTAAGAGTTCTTTTAAAATAAACGAGCATTTGAAATTATCATCATGTAGACTTGCTCCTTTGAGTTAAAGAAGCATCTTTCCAGAAAGCTCCTGATAAAATGACTTCTTGTTTTAAACAAGGAGTAATCTATAAATGTATTAACATCTATTCATAGAAAGAAATTTTTTGACAAAAATAGCTACTGGTCACCCAGGAGACAGAGAAAGACAGAGTGTGCGTTCTGTGGGAAAAGGAGGCGGTGGTAGGAGGTGATGACTTCTGATGGGGAAAAGGCACTGAGGAGACTGAGAGTGACTGTGTGTGTGTGGGGGGGGCAGGGGTGGGGAGTGGGGGGGACTGTCTGAGGGGCAGCATGTGTGTGGAAATGCCAGGTGGCCCTGGGAAGCTGGAAGTCAGGAGAAGGTCATAGGGGTGTCTGAGAAGGGACAGCTTAAAAAAAAAAGTGTTATCAATGCGTTCAGTGGGTGAGGCCACAATGAAAACCAGCGTTCCTACTCCTGTTTTACTTCATGTGGCACTGCTGCCCAGTGAGATCCAAATAAGACCAGGATGTCCAGTACACAGATACCCACGACCCCATATCAGTCTGGGTCCTGGCAAGGAACAGATGGTACATTCAATTTGGGATAATTGGAAGAAAGTTTAACAAAGAGATTATTTATAAAGCTGTGCTCTGGGAGTAGGGACGCTACAAAGAACAGTAGAGGACAGGGAACTAGTAACAGTAGGTTCCACTGCCAGCCCAGGCCTGAAGGCACAAGGGGAAGGTAGTGGCTCCCATGACACAGAATGACAGCACTGCTGCCAGATAGAGCTGGGGAGGGGAGCCCTGGGCTCCCCTACATCCTGTGCTTCCACCCTCTGACTCCTGCCAATGCTCCCATTGGCCAAACCCAACTGGAAGCCAGAGGAAAGCGAGTCCACTGGGGCAGGCCACACAGTTCAGACGCTGGAGCACGGAGGAAGCTGAGGAAGGGTGCAACTGGATCTGGAGATGCAAACATAAGCTACCCGGCACTGACGCCCTGAGTGGGCGAACTGGAGCAAACTCAGATAGCTCCCTCGGGCTGGTGGCTGAGCTCAATTACCAAATCTGTGCAATAAAACCTGGAAATGGCACATCCTGTTTTCAGGAAAACAATAAGGCTACTTTGAAAAACAATTTTATTTAAACCCTAAAATCAAAACATCTCTGCTCTCTCTCCTCATCTGCGAAAGATCTGGTCCCCAGAGATGTGGAGAAATCCTGCTGAGTCCAGAGAAATCATTGCTTCTAGCTGGGCAGGGAGGGGCTCTCTAAGTGATGCCAGTGGGCAGTAGTGTCTATTTTTAGTTCCTCTTAATTGCCAATGAGTGAACTGATGTTTGCAAAGGTAATTAAAGGATGAGAGGCTGGGTGAAGGCTTCCATTTCTCAGGTCTCTCATCCCTGTAGGAAAAAACCTAACTCCCACCTCCACGATAGCCCACTTCTGCCCTAAATTATCTCCACCTTTTCACGAAAGCAGCTGGTTTGAATTCTCTAACCTTTTACTTCTTGGAATCTGCCAATTCTGACTCCCAGTGAAGTGTCTCTTTCCTTCTTGTGGCCTCAATTCTGTTTTATGCCTGTAATTGTTTCCCTAAAATATTTTTAAGTTCATCACGGTACCTTGGACTTTTCAAAAAGGACAAAGCAAGCAAATACATGAAAAAGTAGATAAGCATCGTGAAGGGCAATGTATTCAGGAGGTGCTCTCATGCCGATGGGAGGACATGGCGTGCTCTTGGCATGCGTATACCCAATGCGTCCATCCATACACTGTCCCTGCAGTCCACATCCACCCGACCGCTGTTCAGCAACAGCCTAAGCAGAGCCAGGTTTCCTCTCCTTGCTGCCCAGAATGCGGCATTGGCAAGCGGAGTTTCCTTCTGCAGAAGCAAAATGAAACAGGATCTTAAAATCGACATTAGTTAACATGACCACTTCTACGCAAATATACACCATTCAAAAGGCAGCATTTCCAGATGTGCTGTATCTTTTGCAAGATTGCTCCTCCAGCAATAGATGACTGTAATATACTGTTACGAAATGCATTGTTTTATAGCAGATAACTGAGCCCCAGTGCTGTTATGAAGAGCAATGTTGTTGATAATACAGCACTATTAATATTCTATTTCCCACCAATGTACTCACTTTCCTGCCTCTGTTGTCTTTGTTCACAGTTTCCTTTTTGCTTGAAATGAGTTTTTCCCCATCCTTCAAGGCCAAGGCTCTGTTTAAATGCTATTTCCTCCCTGAAATGTTCCCAAATCTCCTTTCACCTCCAAGCAGGGAAAACCACTCCCAATTCTGACCTCCCAAAGGAGTTTACCAGCACCTTTTCTATGCCCTCGACACTTTCTACCTGATTCCAGCCGTCTAGGTAAAGGCCTCACTTTCTCTCCATCTAATTTTCTTTGCTTCAGCTGGAACTTGCCAGAGGTTTCAGCTGAGAATCAGGAACTCTGGAAGGAAAATGCTTTTACGTGTCCTCGTATGGATCCTTTACTAGGTTATTTCAAAGTTGTAAAGTTAATGTTGGCAACAGACCTATGGAAGGAATAGAGCTGGAAAACAGTTCTCTAAAATGAGAGCTGCAGAGCTGACTGCAGTACAATTTCCTTCTCTAAAACGGATGGATTTAGTTTGTAGAGAACAGTCATGGTGAGGGCAGAGGCGGAAGGACACGCTTGGAACCACACAGCTCCGGGTTTCAACTCCAGCCCTGCACAATGGACTTGGCCCTGGTAGGTCTTGATTTCCTCTTGCTTAAACAGAGGTCATATTACCTGCCTGGAAGTTTATGGTAAGGATTAAATCTTGTAGGTTAACTGTGGTGCCCCACACATCATTAATGCTCACAAATGCTAGTTTTCTTTCCTCTCTTCACTTTTCATTACAAAGTTAGAATCAACAGGCAAAATTGAACTCAGAGTAAAGAATTTTGCTGGTCTCAGGAAATTTTCTAGTATTCAAATTGTTTAACAAAAAAAGGTTTCTTTGCTGGGTTTAAAACTCCTACCTGATCCAAAAGGTTGTTTTTGTTTTTTTTTTAAAGATTTTATTCGGGAATTGGGGGAGGGGAACAGCCAAGTTGTTGTCCTTCAATCTTAGTTGTGGAGGGTGTAGCTAGCTCAGCTCCAAGTCCAGTCGTCATCCAGCCACCCGAAGGTAGCTCAGGGCAGCTCAGCTCAAGGTGCCGTGTTCAGTCTTAGTTGCAGGTGGGCATAGCCCACTATCCCATGCAGGAGTCGAACCGGCAACCTTGTTGTTAGGAGCACATGCTCTCACCGGCTGAGCCGTCCTGCCGCTTGTTGGCAGCTCAGCTCAGGCGCAGCTCACTAGCCCATGTGGGAATTGAACAGGTGACCCTGTTGCTCAGAGCTGGCACTCTTAACCAACTGAGCCACTCGACCGGCCCCCAAAAGGTCTTTTATGCAATGTCTTTTAAGTATATCACCTATGCTAAGAGAAAACACCAACAATTTCAGCTACTCTATGGAGCCATCTAAATGAAAGCACGGTGACATCATGGTGATGGCGGCCTTTGTTGATGTGAGGATTTCATTCCAGAAGCCCTTCAGCCCATACCCCTTAATGTTCTTGTGCATTCTTGGATGAGGACATGGCAAAGCAGGGAGTGATAAGCAGATTACAAACATACTCTGAATAGTTTCCTGGCGCAGTTATGAGGGAAAAAAACAGCTCAAATTCCAGGTGAACAATCTGCTTTCCCCAAAGGTGTAAATTTTACTGTCTCTAGAGTTTTCAAGCCAAAGTGCAATGGTGGTGTTCACACCCAGTGTCTGTGGCTTTTGCATGAGGCTAGGTCTAACATTAGAGTTGTTATTAACTGGGTGAAGCAATAGCAAGGCAGGTTTGACTTGTATAATAAATCATGAAACAATGCCCTTTTAATAAAGAGATTGCACAAGGCCAAAATGAAGTTTGGGAGGGTAAGTTAGGAAGAGAACTTAGTATGCACTATGGGACAGCTCTGCTGGCTTTTCCTGAAACATGAAAACTTGAGGGTAATCAACTGTAAATCACTTACAGTGATTTTGTTGCTCCATTTTAACCCCAAATACCTTTCAAAAACCATCAGCAAACCACAGTCTCCCATTATCACAAGCTCTCCAGCTAGGAGCCTCTCCTGTCTTTAGGGTGGCCTCAGGAATTTCTCTCCTGCTAGGGCTAGACATCCTGGTTTCCTAGAAGGTTCTAGAAACTAAGCTTTGTGAAAAGCTGTACACATTTCATTTTCCCTCAAGGGCTTGGTTTACTGGGAGATGGAGGCATGATAGAGATTTGGGATAAGAAGGAGCTGAGTTCAAGTTCTGACCCTGCTACTTCTCAGCTCTGTGACCTTGGGCAGGTTATTTAACTTCTCTCTGCCCCAGTAAAATGGGGATACTAATAATAGTGACCTCATTCATGTGTTGTTGGAGGATTAAATGAGTTAATCCACGTAAATGCACTTTGATAGGAAACACAATAAATCTAGCTATGAATGCACAGCCCTCACAGCTTGTTAAAATACTTGTCCAGGCGAATTCGTTTACTTGGCCACGTGCTGGGGATAGTGGTCCTAGCCAGGAGCTAGGACTAGAAGTGTGAGTCACCATGGTCTCTCCTCACAATGGCTTTGTGGCCCAGTAGGACAATAAGTCATGTCAATAGGCATCAGAGTGATTATAGGTGAGTAGGAATGTAGATACTCGTGGTGAGAGAATGGTCAATTCTACCTGAGGAAGGTGGCCAGGGATGGCTTCAAAGAGAAGAAATTCTTGGGAAGAGTTCTGAAGGAGGAGTAGGGGCCACGGTAGTGAGCATCCCAGGCTGACAGGGTGGTGAGGCAAAGACACGGACGCCTCGCTCAGCACCTGGGAACCATCTCTACCTCAGAGGGGCTGGAGTGAAGGGTGTGAGGGGACAGAGGGCAGGAGATGCTGTAGGGCAGGTAGCCAGGGCCAGATCCTGATGGATCTGCTGTGCCATGCAGTTTCATCTGGGGTGCATGGGGGAGTCAAGAAAGGGTTTTTAAGAGGGAAGAGATGGTCAGTTTTGCATTTTAGGAAGGTCCTGCTGCAGCCCCAGGGAGGATGGACTGAGCATCAGTCTGTGAGGGTTAGGAGACCGCTATATACGAGTAGTTGAGGATAGAGATGATGAGGGCCCAAGCTGAAGCAACACGAGTGGGGATGGCAGGATGACACGGGCTGGAGGAATGTTAAGGTGCTGAACTGCGGAGTCCTGGTCTGCGACCGTATTGCAGGAGAGGAGAGAGAGGGCGTCTGGGCCGCCTCCCAGGTTTCGGTTTGAATGCCTGGTTGATGTGGTGCTATTCATGAAAGTTGGAAATACCATATGGAGGACAGGTTTGGGGGGAAAATGGTGAGTTCAGCTTTGAACCTGCTGAGTTGTTAGTGTTTATGGGGCATCTAGATGTAAAGATCTAGCAAAGAAATGGGTACGTTCTCCGATCACACTGTGGCTGACATTATTGTAGGGCAGGATCTTGAGCTAACGCCAAGTGCTTATTCATCTGCATAGACTACCTCATTTAATCCTCATCACAGCTCAGTGAAGTGGGTACTATTAGCATCCCACTGCACAGATGAGGTAAGAAATGACAAGGCAGGCTTCAGCCCCATGTGGTCTGGTGCTTAAGGCTGCCCTTTTAGCCATCACACTGTACTGCCTCCTGCAGAATTCTCCTCCTGTAGACATCAAGGCATAGGCAGTGTAGACCCCAATGACCTCCTTCCTGTTGTCAATCCAAGCTCCTCTTCTGCTAAGATGGAAAGTCCTCTGACCTTCCTTCTTTTGGGGTCTATACACACCACATTGCCTGGGTAACTTCCTGAAGTGCAATATGCTTAAAATCATAAATGCTGTGGAGTGGACAAGCCCTCTAGCCTTTAACAGGAAATGCTTCACACACATTATAAAGCACTTTACCAACCATGGTATTACTACCTCTTTCTTGATTTTTCTCACCTCTACAAGGAGGCCAGTGATCTCCCTGAGGCTCACTGGTTGCAATATTATGAGGAGCAGCAACGTTGAGATCTTGTTCTGTATCAGGTAGTGTGCTAAGCACTTTCACTACTCTGATGCACTTAATTCCCCCAAACAGCCCCATGAGGTGAGTGTTATTATTACTCTCATTTTTAAGATGAGGAAACTGAGGCCCAGAGTGAATTACTCAGGTAGGAAGTAACACAGCCAGGATTCAAATCCAAGGTCTTATATCTTATACCCTGTGAGAAAAATTGAGCATACTTCCACATATGCCATATTTTCTTCTCTTTTTTTCCCTAACTTCCTGCCAGAATTTTGGTTTATACATTGTTCATTAGCACACTACTATAAATTAAGTACAGGAAGGAAGGGGAGAGGAAACATAGATGGGAAATGGTTATTTGTACAGAATTGGAATTCTGATTAAAAGCTAAGAGGGGGTAGAGATTTAAACTATTGGTTTAAAAAAGCGTTTAGAATAATGTGGATTTGAGTTGTACTATTAATTGTGTACTATTAATTCAATCAAGGAACATCAGCTTTGTTCAATAATGTATCTCTTTGATATTGGAGGCCACATTAAATAAGGGTATAATGAAGGATAGAGAAGCCATGTGCAGGGTATGCGTTTCATCTGCTGCTATTCTAATCCACTGTCCCACTTAATGCGAAGTATCTGAAAATGTCAGAATGCTTAATAAACATTAAAGAAGCCTAAACCCTGTATTGTCAGTATTGTTACACTTCTGTGACAGTAAACTGAAGAGAAAAAGTGATTTGCCTTAAGTATTCTGCCTTAGATGTAGGATTCACATAACACCAGCATTTCCAAATTCAGAACTCAAGAC